CTATTTAAAGCGCCCTTCTTTCTCCGCGCTCGCTGTTGTCGCCCTGTTGATGACGTCAGCGACGCGGTTTAATCGGGCGCTTTAGTCGAGCGCGGTTTTGTCGTGCCACGGAGTCCAAACCCCAAGGATTCACGGTGGCCCTAAACCTGAAGAGGCACACCCACCGGTGAAGCGGTGAGAGCTTTTTAAGCATTGCTGAGAGGGCTGACTCAACGGCTTCTTCAGATCGTCAGTATATTCTGTGTGAGTCCTCCTCTTTGACAGTCAGTGCAAAAACTGAAACAGCCAAAAGGAAACAGCCATTCATTCCTGAGAGATGGGAAGGCTTGGAATTAAGGTCTGCGGAAACTCAGTAGGGAAGTTCCTCTAAGTTCCGTGGCTTAGAAGGAAGCTTTAATGGCAAAGGCGAGGAAATGCACCCTTAAGGCTGTCCCCATTGCCCAACACCAGATCCCCCCGCCACAGTCAGGAAGCAAACTCTTCAGGCAATTGAGAAGCCAACGGGATTCTCAAGAATGTCTACACACATTCCTGGCACATGCATCTGTCTAGAAATGTGTTCAAAACGAAGACCGGTCCAGCGTCAGCAAATGCTTATCCATCTGTCAAATGAAACAAAAACCATCTCTTCAAAAGAAGACCATGCATAATGGCTTTCATGCCGAATTGAAAGCTGGCGCCAACTCAAAATCTCTTTGCATCTTGTTAGAAGTGAAGAGGCTTAGCAACTCCCCCCCGGCCCCCCAGCCCACCCTCTTATCCTTTCTTATCAAGAAGCTGTCTGCCCAGGATGCTGTGGCAGAAACAAACAATCCTTTCCACCTCCTTTGGCTGAATGGAAAGAACTTGCATTGGTCCATGGTAGTAGATAAACATAAAAGGTGAAGGTTCCCCTCACACATATGTGCTAGTCGTTCCCAACTCTAGGGGGTGAAGCTCATCTCCGTTTCAAAACCGAAGAGCCAGCGCTGTCCGAAGACGTCTCCGTGGTCCTGTGGCTGCCATGACTAAATGCCAAAGGCGCACAGAACGCTGTTACCTTCCCATTAAAGGTGGTTCCTATTTTTCTACTTGCATTTTTACGGGCTTTCAAACTGCTAGGTTGGCAGAAGCTGGGTCAGCTCACTCCGTTACGCGGCGCTAGGGATTCGAACCGCCGACCTTTCTGATCGACAAGCTCAGTGTCTTAGCCACTGAGCCGCCGTGTCTCTTTTGAGACAAACATACAAGCAAGCAATCTTCCTTGAGCCACTGTATATGCTGTCATGGTTAGCACAGTTAATGTTACTGGCTGGATTAACCTTAGAGAAGCAGAACAATAAAATAGAAAGGGCCTTTTGAAAAAGAGGGATTGTGAACTGTTTTAAAAATTGACCATATTCCAACTGATCAAACTAATATTAATACCCAAGCTGGAATAGACTTTTGGAAACTGGAAAAACAAAAACTACCACTATTGGAAGTGGGGGTTATTGTTTTATTTTATTTTATTGTCTCTACTATGTTTTTAATGCTTGTAAACCTCCTACAGTCGCTGTGAGCGAGTAGGTGGCTGTGTAAGTTTCCCAAATAAACAACTTACTGGATTTTATGCATGTAATAAAAATGCTGGCCCGTTTTTACACGAACTTACCAAAGCGCCTTTCCCTTTGGCCTGCTCGTTTCAAAAAGCTGAATGCTTTGTCAAGGCAGCTGTATAAAAACAGGACTCTCAGATGGAATCCATTATGACACCTTGAGCATCTGTTATTGGCAGGACCATGCTTTTAAATTTTTTTAAATCTTATCTTACATGGCTAGTCCAGAATTATTGTACTGTTTAGGCAGTGTTTGTTTCTATAATAATTGCAATTTAATGTGCTGTATTGTCTACATAACACAGTCCTTATTTCATGAACTCAATATTTTATTCAAGGTGTCAGCTGGGGCTTGCCAAGAATGTACTTCTCAAATAACTTCCGCATTTAAAAGGAAGATGCAATTTATTTTCGGTTCATGTTCATTGGCTCATAATTAATACTTTACACACACAGACAATCCTCAGTTGTGAATGGACATACTCTCTATGGTCAATCCTAGACAGGCCCACATAGGCAGCTAGTTAGTAGCTAGGAGTGTTTCTACACCTTAGTCTGTAAGATGGGTTCGACTTCAACTCCCAGAATTCCCCAGCCAGCCAAAGCTGGCTGGAAATTTCTGAGAGTTGAATTCCGCCTATCTTATCGTTGCCAAGATGGAGAAACAGAGTTAGAAGGTAGGACAGACCCCGATTTCCTCACAAATAATAATAATAGGAAAGAAACAGCCACATCAGTGGGGGAAGAAAGTTAAGATTGACGCTTCACTGCCTCCAAGGGGTCTCAAGCAGACGATTACGGCATGGTTATGGGGTCTCTGTGGGGTTCATTGGACAATTTCAAAAGGCTACCTATCTCTACCATTTCAAATGCAAGTATGAGCAAAAGCTTTCCATTGCGATGTGTTTTAGTCGCTTAAAGCATTAGATCTTATTCATGCAAAAGGCAGGTTGCAAGTATCTGCAGTCAAGAGGTCTTAAAAAGTTTTATCAATTAGTTTGAAAAATCCCTTTTTTTTCCCCTCTCCAGCAAGACAGCACAGTATGTATATGACGGAAGCTGCATTTAGGCAGGGTGAATTTAGTAATAGGGAACATTGTTTAAAATGTCTCACATGCGAGAAAGAAGACAGGACCAGGATGAGCCCGAGGGAGGTAGGGGTCAAACACTTCATCAGTCTCGAGTCTCTTGGTGCCCACAAGAGATATAATTCCAGCCCACCTTGAATTCTTTCCATTGTTCATTCCCGCTAATTTCCCTCGAACGTTAGCGGTTCAGATTCTTGTCAAGATCGTAAGCTTGCAACAAACTTTTATATTGCTTTGAACTGCCTGGACTTCCTCATTTGACAGAGCCTTTTCAAAGATACAAATACTTCAGTATCTTCTCTGTCAAGACCTCTCAAAGACTGAGGGACAACGGATTCCCAGCAGCCCGAAATTTGGAAGTATGCTTTATAATGCCATCTTTTTAAACGGAAGGCTCCCCGAGAAAAAAAAAGAAGGGGGGGGGGGGACTGGTTCCCGGCAAACACAGCGGTGTGGAAGAAACTTACCGTCTGGAACCTCGTCTGGCCTCTTCCTTTTCTCATAAACAACTATGATAACTACAAGAATGATGATCTCCGCCAGAATTCCCAGGAAGGGCCAGAGAGGAGCCAAGTGGCTGCGTACACGGAGGATGGTGATTTTGGCGGTCGTGTTGATGGAGTTGGTGGCATTGCATTCGTAATCGCCAGGGTCCTGAGTGATGTGGAGGCTCTGAATACGGAGTTCGGTGTAATTCTCTTTGTTGTTAATGAAGAAGCGTCCCGAAGAGTTGTCAATACTCTAAGGAGAAAAGGGCAATCCGGAGCAAAAATTACCAAGCGTTCCAGTTATTCTGTTATGCGCCCACATCCCATCCTTCGAACGAGCTTAAAATATTCTTCATTCTGGAAGCTTGGCAAGCTGGGCATGAGAGAAGCAGGGCAAGCTCATTCGCATAATCATTCAACTTGCCGCCTTTTAAAACCTCCTCAAGTTCATTTGTGGCGGAAGGAGATGGGCACGTATACGGGCATGTCCTCGGCTTACGACCACAACCAAAATTTGTGTGGCTAAGCAAGATGTTAAGCGAATCACGGCGGTTGTTAACAACATGGCCTTTAAGCGAAATCTGGCTTCCCCCATTGACTTTGCTCGCCAGAAGGGGATCACGTCACCCTGGGGCGCTGCGACCGTCATAAATAAGAAACAGTTGCCTAGTTTCTGAATTTTGAAGCTGCTGCAACAGTTGTTAAGCGTGAAAAAAAAATGGTTGTAAGTATCGTTGTGACTTCGAATTAGTCGCTAAACGAACTGTTGTAAGTCGAGGACTGCCTGTATTTCAAATAGCCATGGAGGAACAATTCTGAGCGGCAAGCAAGGTAAGGTTAGTCAGAAAAGGATGCAGAACGCTTGAGGGAAACCGATTGGATGCTTGGATTCTTGTTTTGCAGGAAGAAGCAGGGTCATTCTGCAAGAGATTTCCTGCCTAGAAGTAACATTTTTTAAAAACCTCTGTTGCAGGGACCATACCTGGTTTTGCTCTTAAGATGTCTCCGATTTTGTTCTTCAAGTTTAGCAAACCAATAGAAAGCTGCCCCCCCCCCCACAAAAAAAGGCTGTTTGCAGAACAAGAGAGAATGATCTTTAGGAGGCAAAAAATACTGGAATAGCTTCATTCCTTGGCCTCGCCTTGCAAACTTTAGCCAACAGCTGTGCTTACCTAGTGGCGTTCGATCTTCTACTCACCACAGACATCCCGTTGATTTTTTTGTACCACGTCCACTCTGGATGTGGGTAGCCCACCGACTTGCAATACATCAGTGCCTCCTGCCCTTCGTTCTTGTTCTCACTTCGCTTGTGCCCAGTAATATCAGGAGCAGCTAACAGGCACAAAAAAAAAAAAAAAAGGATTGGGGGGGGGAGGAAAGGAGAGAAAAATAGCAGTGTATAATCCAGTCTGTTTCCTCTATAGAACTGTTACAACCCTATATAACGAAATTCAAAATCGTCACCCACTGTTCAAAATCCAAGAAAGCCACAGCGGTGGGCCTTCCGGTGGCTTAATATATTCAATTTTGCCACTGATTATTTATTTAGAACTTCCTTCCATTTCATATTCAACTATTGAGTAAATTCCCTATAATAAGAGTGTCTGCAGAATATCTGTGTCCAATTCTGGATTTTGCTTTTAGTGTCTTGCATCTCACTGAGTAACCCCGACAGTGTTTTAAAAAAAAATGTGGGGAAAAATCCTTCAGGTTATACTGAACAGTACAAAAGCATGGAGCAATAAAATAACACCCACCCACCCCAATATGCTCTCATTCTGAAAAGAAAAAATAATTCTAAAACTTCTCCTGAGCAGAAAGTCCCCAACAATTTAGGGCTAGGCTGGAAGGCATCACATTTATTCCTACAGAAAAATGCAGAAAGTTGCAGCTGGGATACTTTTTATAGCAGCTTCAAAAGATCCACAAGAGCAAGCAAAATAAAAACATACAGAAAAGAAGGCACAATACTGACATGCAGTACTGTGTATGTAGAATTATTTTACATTTTCCATGCTTGGCTTTGGCATTCGGGAGATAAAACCATTTCTCAAGACGTTCCAATTTTATGAGGATGGGTGAGCCCTCGTCACCTGTGAAGACTGTGACCTGGGGGGGTTGGGGGGAGGGAGGGATGTATATTAGGCTTGACGAGGGGTGTTAGATTTTAATGTAATATAATTGCACAGGTATACTGTCTTCTCTTATTTTTTTCTTTAAAACTAGGATATGTTAAGTATATTAATATGGAAGCATAAATACCATCAACATAGATTGGAGTTTGCTCAGAAGCGGAAATACACCAATGAGAGGAAGAGTGGGAAACAGAAGAGAGAAGAAAGATGGGAAGAGAGGGATAGGAGAGAGGGTAAGGGGGGGAAGATGAGGAGGATAAGGAGGAGTGGAATGTAGAGAGAGGAGAAGGAGAAAGGAAGGGGAAGTAGAGTAGTGAAAGGATGATGGAGGGAAGAAAGGAGGTAGGAGCGAAGTAGAAGAAAGAGGTGTATGGAGAGCAGAAGAGCTAATAATGGGTTTTTATCTTTCTGGGCGTTGATGACAAGAGGAACTGATGTAATTAATACAATAGGATACTGGCTATGTAATAGTATACATGTGATTGTATGTTATGAAAATGGAAAATAAAAAAGTATATATATATTTTTAAAAAGACTGTTCCATGAGGCATTGCAGGAGGAGAATTTTAGAAGCTAAGCTAAAAGACGAAGACAGAGGAAATGAATTAAAAAGTATGGGTACCTTTTACTTCTATTGAAGCATTTGCTACTGGGGAGGCAACAAATACAAATACACACCAATATTCCCCTGAATCATCAGCTCTGGGCTTTGTGATTCTGCAAAGAAAAAGAAGGAGGGATCAGAATAGCAGGGGACAAACCACCCAGGTTTTACGAAGCCATAAAGGGCCCAGTTGTTTCTAGGTTATTCAAGGTTAACACAATAAAAAGCAATCCAAAATATTCAAAACCTTCTATCAGCTTCTTTGCTGGAAAACCTCCAAATGAAACGCCTACATGAGAGAGGCTGAAAAGAGCACTTTCCCTAATATCACAAAGAGCCAATGGGGATTCTAAATAGGATCTTCCCCGTTTGAAACGGAAGTTCTGAACTATTTTAAAACTATATTTTTTTTAAAAAAAAAGCTGGGTTAAGATGGATCGAATTATCCTATAGACTTTATTAGAAAAATTGGAATAAATTCAAGAGGAAAATTTATAGCAAGGTTCCACAATTTGGCTATTAACGTTAGAAGGGTTAATGCACCCAGATCTTATTAACCTTTAAAGTGAGCATTATCCCTAATGTACAGGTAGGTAGTCCTCGACTTGCAACGGTTTCATTTAGTGACCATTCAAAGTTACGACGGCACTGAAAAAAGTGACACAACCATTTTTCACACTTGCAACCGTTTGCAGCATCCCACGTCAAAATTCAGGCGCTTGGCAACTGGCTCATACTTATGACCGCTGATGTGTCCCTGGGTCACGGGATCACCTTTTGCGACCTTCTGACAAGCAGTCAATGGGGAAACCAGATCTGCTTAACAACCGTGTTACTAACTTATTGGCTGCAGTGATTCACTTAACAAGTGTGGCAAGAAAGGTCGTAAAATGGGGCAAAACTCACTTTAACAAACGTCCCGCTTAACAACAGAAAACTTGGGCTCAGCTGGGGTCACAAGTTGAATCTCTATTCTGCTTGTTAATGGAACAAATAATGTGTGGCTTCCTCCCTACCTCATAAAGTTTTGGATATTATTTCTTAATGTCATTCATTCTACGAAAAACTTGAGGATTGGAGATGCACAACATCTAAATCTCCTTAGCTAAAATCGCTAGTTTTGATGCTTAAAAGCTGTTCAGCTCCTACATTTTGTTCAGCTGCTTCTGTGGCAGCACCACTGAATTTTCAGAGAGGAAAATTTCCTTTTCAGACTTACTTGTATTCTGTGGTGTTTGTGTTCTTCATGGTACTTGGAATGTCCTCTCCATTCTTCACCCAGTAGCTGTTAATGAGGGGGGTAGGGCTGGATGTGAGGTTGCACTGTAGAGTGATGGGGATTTGAGGGGAGGTAATGGTCACTTCATTACTGGAATTGATCCTGGGCTCTAGAGGAAAAGAGACACATTAAAAGGGCTGTCAGTTTCCACCCGACTCAAATGTCCTACGTGGCACACAATTAAATGGCAGAGGAGTTGGGAGAGGAAAAGAACTACACATGGAAAACAACTTCACTAGCTCAGATGGCATTAAGGCGTACAATGAACAGCTGATCAGCAGAGGGGGGAAAAATAAAACACAACAAGGACTAGTCTAGTGATACAAAAGGGCAAAAAGAAAAAAAAAGAAAGAAAATAAAATAATAGATTTTGGCATTCTTTTATTTTTTTTGGGCCTAACTAAGGGGAAATTAAAAAATAAATCACACAAGAACACAGAGCAAGCATTCAGTCTAATCCATGTTTTAAAAAATAAAATCTTTGGGTGCTTTTCACATATCGTTCTAGATTGAAGGATCTTGCTGCAAGAGAAAAACATCCAATAGAACACAATGCTGTAGGCGCAATCCCTCACCCCCCACCCCGGCCCACCCTCCCCAACAGGTATTAGCAGGGCCAGTCTTCTAGGAAGCTTGCAAAGAAAATTGTGCCATTACACCCTTCCGTGTTCTCAATAATGGAAGACACTTTCAAATCACCAATTGCATAACACAGATTTTGAGCTATGATGAAACAGACAGGAAACAAAGTTTATTTAGCTTGTGCCCCAAACTAGAGCTGGTACCATTTTGGAATCAGCAGCAACCATAAAAGCTTTGTAGCAAGCCTACTCTTCTCGTTTTCTATGCTATAGAGGGCACCTATATATGATGATGAGTAAGGAAGCCACCCCCTCCCCTTTCTCAAAGTTTGCCTTGCCCCTAACAGCATTAAGTTCCTGGGGATCCCTTTCCCACCAACCCCTTTACCTAAGAAAAAAAGGTTGAAACCCTTTCCCCAATTAGCATATGGATTTTTCCCGTGATTTATATTCAGATTGCACAGTATTTGAAAGAGGAACTGCGCAGGGAAGCAAACCAAATTTACACGTTGAAGTCCTTAAAGCACCAAGGTCTTTTGCAAGGCTTGGGCAGAGATTCCTGGCTTTTTACATGGGGTTATATTATAATAACAACAGATTAACAGAGTTGGAAGGGACCTTATAGGTCATCTTATGGATGTTGCCTACTATTTTTAGTATATGTCTCTATTTTGTTGTCTGTATCCCCCCTTTCCTAGTTTTATGTGAGCCGCCCTGAGTCCCCTCAGGGAAAAGGGCGGCCTACAAATTCTAATAAAACTAAACTATAAACTATAAACATCTAGTCCA